CTCTGCGTACCACAACGGAAGTAAGAGTCTTCCCAGGGGTTGTCGGATTTTGGAGAATCTTCATCAAGGGTTTCGCCAAGATAGCGGAATCCATCCAGGCCATGATTCGTCAAGAAGGGACAGTGGATTGGACCGAGGAGCGAAAGGTCGCGGTTCAGGCCCTCAAAAACATATTGACGTAGGAACAAGTTACCCTTGTTGCTCCGTGTTTCAATGATGAGGTAGGGCGACCGTTCATACTTGAGATCGATGGGGGACCACTAGCTTTAGGAAGAGTGTTGATACAGAAAGGTGAGGAAGGGAGGCAGAGACCCATCGGATTCGAGAGTAGGATGATGAATTTTGCAGAGCGTCGCTACTCTCAATTCAAGAAGGAGGTACTGGTCGTCCTTCACTGCCTTAAAACCTTTCAAGCTTACCTATTTGGGAGATGCTTCATTTTGAGAATCAATCCGACAAACCCATAGACCCTACTGTGGGAAGACAGATAGGGTTTATTTGGCAGTTCGACTACAAAATCGAACACATTGTTGGGTTCAAAAATATGGCGGATGGTCTAAGTAGGGTTTGCATCACACCGAAGGAGTGGAGGATGCGAAACCTATCGATGTGTTCCTCGACTATAAGAAAGGGACCCGTGTAGTAGATAACGAAGTCAGGGAAATCGGACAGATGGCAAAATGGAGTCCCCATGAGTGTGGGGCCTTCATTATTGTGATCCGAGAAATAACGGTCAGCTGATGGATCAAGATCTGGATCTAGATCAAGATCCATGACCTAGAAAAATAGTCAACAGTTGCTTGACCCTTGTCATAACATAAATAAAATAAAATAAAATAAAAAATAAGAAAAAGAAGGGAGAATAAGACAAAAGAGGACAAAAGGGTGGAGGAGGAAGTGTCGTCCAGTTGGGACTAGCACAGTAGGGACTGGCAAGTACCTAATCTGACCTCATCACTCCGGATTTAGTGGAGGTTACTCCGGACTGATGAGATAAGACCCTTGGGGCATTATCTCGACAATATCTGAATTAAAGAGGCAAAAATTAGAGAAAAAGCAAAAAGGAGTTGGCCGTTTTTTTTCTAGGCCATAGATCTGAGATCATATCTCATGGAGGGGGTGATATGCCCGTTTTTTGTGGGGTAAGCTTAAATGGCCAACTCCGAAATGTATTGGCAGCCCAAAATGGAAAGAAACAAAAGAGGGAAAATGACGAAACGGTGCATTTGGCCGAAGAAGAAGGTTAGATGCACCAAAAATTGAAAAATTGAGCCTTTAGGTTCAAATCTGAAACAAATCCGAAACAAGGACCACTTGGGGGTAACTCGTATTAATGTTGGTTTTGGATCCCATCCAGATCCAAGGCTGAAATGACACCGAGGTACAAGAAAATATCTCGGCCGAAATCAACTTGGGGTAGGACTAGGAAGAATCGAGAAAAAGATTCACAAGGTCTTTTTCTTTGAAATAGGACTGACCGTTGAATATTCGGGCCCAAGGGGCAGCATCTGAAAGTGAAAACGAGGCATGAGGAGGCTCTAGGGGCAGACCGAGCTGGTACCAACCACTCAGACTGCATGCAAATGACCGAAAAGAGATCCAGATGCTTCCGGAGAGACCTCGTGGAGAGAAAACGCCTTGGGTTTACCTCTGTTCACTTTGGGGTACATAGGGAGGTCCATGGGTTGACCAAAGTGTTGTGCCCCGCCTACATAAGTTGGGGGAGCATTCCCCCACACTCACATTTGCATGAGGCAGGTACATGCTGCCTGCGTGAGTCTGAGAGAGCTCTGCACTGAACTGGAGTGAGAGGAGGGGAACCGTTGCCAGTTTGGAAGCTTGGAGGAGACTATGGGCTAGTGGGAGAGGTGTTGAGACTAGTGGAGGTTGTGGCAGCCTAGGGAAGTGATCCACCATAGGCCCCAGGTTGTGAAAAAGAGAGGAAGGCTAGTAGGGGTCCCCTTAGCCCTCCTAGAGGGGAGGACTCCATAGCCTTGGTGGTAGGAACTTGCTATAGCCTGCGAGATAATGAGGAAGAGGGGTGATAAAGACTTGAAGAAAAAGGGAGTCAAAGTTGGACAACAAGTGTGCAAAGAGAAATGAAGCTTCACCAAGATTAACATCTCCGTCTCAAGAGACTGGGGAGGTGAGTGAGAAACCCCTTCTTCTTTTTCTTCCTCTTCTTCTTCTTCTTCTTCATCTTTTCTTTTTCTTCTTCTCCTTTTTTTCCCTCTCCTTCCTCTTCACCTTCTTCTTCTCCTTCTTTTTCCTTTCCTCCTTCTTGTCCTAATATCTTCTTCCATCTCCCTCCTCTCCTCTCTCCTCCTCTCACTTTCTCTCCATAACTAACATGCTAAGCATAGAAAGAATAAGACATAACTTCTTCACTAGAGATTGCCTCCGCATTGTCCGTTTTCCCTCTGCATCGTGATTCGACATTTTGTGTTCTGTGTTTTATAGCTTGTGGGTGAGTTTCATTCTCTCTCCCTTCCTCTTTTGCCCAAATCTGCACTTGGGAGTAAATCGCCACTTTTGTCCTTGCGTGTTGTAGCCATCATGTACTCATGCATTGATCATTTTCCCTCTTCATTGTCAATCGACACTTTGCGTTTTGTGTTTTCTAGCTCGAGAGTGAGTCTCATTCACTCGCCCTTTATTTTTTGCTCAAATTTTCACTTGGGAGTGAATCGCTATGTTTGTCCTTGCTTGTTTTAGTGTTTTGGTCCTCATCTACACATGCATTGTCCATTTTCCCTCTCCATTGTAATTCAACACTTTGTGGTTTTTGTTTTCTAGCTTGTGGGTGAGTTTCACTTGATCTCCCTCTTTTTTTTGCCCAAATCTGCACCTGGGAGTAAATCATCACTTTTGTTCTTGCTTGTTTTAGTGTTCTAGCCATCATCTACTCATGCATTGTCAATTTTCCCTCTCCATTGTCAATCGACACTTTGTGTTTTGTATTTTTAGCTTGGAACTGACTCTCCCTTCCTCTTTCGCTCAAATCTGCACTTGGGAGTAAATCGCCACTTTTGTCCTTGCTTGTTTTAGTGTTGTTGTCATCATCTACTCATGCATTGTCCAATTTCCATCTCTATTGTAAATCGACACTTTGTGTTTTGTGTTTTCTAGCTTGAGAACGAGTTTCACTCACTCTCTCTTCATCGTTTGCTAAAATTTGCACTTGGGAGTAAATCATTACTTTTATCCTTGCTTGTTTTGCTGTTGTAGTCATCATTTACTCATACATTGTTCATTTTCTCCGTCCATTGTAAATCGCTTCTTTGTGCTTTTTTACTCATACATTGTTCATTTTCTCCCTCCATTGTAAATCGCTTCTTTGTGCTTTGAGTATTTTATCTTGAGAATGAGTTTCACTCACTCCACCTTCATATTATGCTCAAATCTTCACTTGGGAATGAATCGTCACTTTAGTTCCTACTTGTTTTATTCTTCTAGCCATCATCTACTCATGCATTATCCATTTTCCATCTCCATTGTCAATCGACACTTTGTGTTTTATGTTTTCTAGCTTGAGGGTAAGTTTCACTCACTCTCTCCTTATCTTCTGGTCATCTTCTCACTTTGGTGTCAATCGCAACTCCATTTCGTGCTCTTCTCATTATTGATGTCATCATATGCTCATGCTTTACCCATTTTCCCACTGCAAAGTATGTCGCTACTTTGTTGTCTGTGTTTCCAAGCTTGGGAGTAAGTTTCACTCACCCCCCCTCTGTACTTTGTCGAAATTTTCACTTTGATGAAGGGTGCAACTTCTATCTTTGTCCATTTTATTGACATGGCTGTATGAACATAGTAAACACTCCGTATCTGTGGTCACTCATTCCCATGTGCTCTATTTGAATGACACACTAATCCCCCCCGTGCTTTATTTGAACGTTGCTTCACCCCTCCTCCTTCTCGTGCTCTATCCGGACACGTTAAGGAAAAGGGGGTGGATAGGAGATTGTAGTTCATGCTGCTGCTGCCAATGTTGTCATTGCTGATACTGTACCTGACGATGTTGTGGTTGCTGCATGACCAAACCTTGACTGTTGTGGCGGCTGAGAAAACCGTTGTCCAAGCCTCGGGACAAAGGGTGGTCCGAAGATGGCTAAAGGGGCGGAGCGGCCCGGGCTGACGAAAAACTAACTTCGCCCTATAGAGGATATGGTGGCTGAGACTGAACAGGGCCCATGGCCTAGCCATAGATAGGTGGTATGCAAAACCGTTAGGCAATCTGAGTCAATTTTCATGCAACAACGAAAAATGGACTTCCATGAACTTTTCACCGAGAGCCTCGGGCGGTGCCAAAAACAAGCAAGTAGAGGCAAACGACAACGTAATCACACCAGATTTTAGGAGGGTCATCAATAGGGTATAGACAAAGGGTCCATGAAGTTACTTGGCTCTGAAATCGTTCAGGCCATCAAACACAAATATGTGTTTTTCGGCTTTCCCTCCCCTAGCAAAAGTGGCAAAAACTGAAAAATCGCAAATTAAAGTTTTTCGCAGTCTGAGTTTTTCTTGCAAATCTGAGTTTTGCAAAATCTCAATGCCTGTTGTACGTGTGCATTTCACAAATATGGATTTTCTATCGGTTCAGACGTTAAGACCACGCAAGTAGGTAGGGACCGAAACTTTAGGATCCACCAGAGCTAAGTACCTTCACACCTTCTTTCACCTTGACCTCCTGCACCCATCGACCATACCCAAGTACCTTCACTCCTTCTTCCACCTCCACCTCCTTCACCCTTCCACCATAGCCAAGTACCTTCACACCTTCTTCCACCTTCACCTCCTTCACCCTTCAACGATAGCCAAGTACCTTCGAACCTTCTTCCACCTCCACCTCCGTCACCCATCCACCATAGCCAAGTACCTTCACACCTTCTTCACCTCCACTTCCTTCACACATCCGCCAAAGCCAAGTACCTTCACACCTTCTTCCACCTCCACCTCCTTCACCCGTCCACCATAGCTAAGTACCTTCACACCTTCTTCCACCTCGACCTCCTTCATTCGTCCACCATAGCCAAGTACCTTCACACCTTTTTCCACCTCCAACTACTTCACCCATCCACCATAGCCAAGCACCTTTGCACCTTCTTCCACTGCCACCTCCTTCACCCATCCACMATAGCCAAGTACTTTCACACCTTCTTCCACCTCCACCTCCTTCACCCGTCCACCATAGCCAAGCACCTTTGCACCTACTTCCACCTCCACCTCGTTCACCCATCCATCATATCCAAGTACCCTCACACCTTCTTCCACCTCCGCCTCCTTCACCAATCCATCATAGCCAAGTTCCTTAACGCCTTCTTCCACTCCCACCTTCTTCACCCATCCACCATAGCCAAAGTACCTTCACTCCTGCCCTCACCTCCACCTATCCACCATAGCCAAGTACCTTCACACCTTCGTCTACCTCGACCTCCTTCACCCATCCAACATAGCCAAGTGCCTTCACACCTTCTTCTACCTCCACTTCCTTCACTCATCCACCATAGCCAGGTACCTTGACACCTTCTTCCACGTCCACCTCCTTCACCCATCCACCATAGCCAAGTACCTTCATACCTTCTTCCACCTCCACCTCCTTCACCGTTCCACGATAGCCAAGCACATTTGCACCTTCTTCCACCTCCACCTCTTTCACCCATCTACCATATCCAAGTACCTTCACATCTTCTTCCTCCTCCACCTCCTTCACCCATCCACCATAGCCAAGTACCTTCATGCCTTCTTCCACTTCCACCTCCTTCACTCATTCACCATAGCCAAACACTGTTGCTCCTTCTTACCCCTCCCCACCCCCTTCACCTATTCACCATATCTAAGTACCTTCTCACACCTTCTTCCATCTCCACCTCCTTCAGCCATCCACCATAACCAAGCACCTTCACAACTTCTTCCCCCTCCCCGTTCACCAACAATTGTTGTGACGCAAGGTATATAGGGCAGCAAGCGCAGGTAGTACAGTGGGACGAGTAGGGGATAAGTTGGATTAGGTTTAGAGGGTCTCTCTCTCTCTCTTTCTCTCTCTCTCTCTCTCTCTCTCTCTCTCTCTCTCTCTCTCTCTCTCTCTCTCTCTCTCTCTCTCTCTCTCTCTCT